TGTCCTCTACCTTTCTGCTTTTTTGTCATAGTAATTAAAGCATTATTTAGTGTGTTTATGAAGCCGTTTCCTGATCGGGACGGTTGCCTGCTGAATTGGGATGTACTGTATATCATCAGCTTCTGACACTGCAGAAAAACATGAGCCACACAGCTACTCACAGGACTATTCATGTGCACACGGCCTTAGAAAACATCTGCAAGCCTCAAACATCTGAACAAAAGAGCTGTAATGAGGGCCAGATTCCAGGAAGGTGTGTCAGAGTCGCTCAGATCCAGCTCTTTGAGAGTGTTTCATTCACACAGATAAGGAGGATCTGGCTGCAGGGAGTCTCGTGTAAAGAGCTCAGAAAAGGCTTTTTGTTTCCCTGCCAAAACAGAGGGACGACGTCTGCTTCAGATGTGTGTGTGTGTGTGTGTGTTAGAGTGTGTGTATGTGTGCGTGTGTGTGCGTGCATGTGTGTGTGTGTGTGTTGAAGGAGTGTAATCTAACACACATATACCATGGTATATATGGTGGTATAAACTATGTTCATACGGTTTATATTGTATTGTTAATGTTATATTATGTTGTTAATGTGACACTTTACTCTTTTGTTTACTGTATTTGTAGTATGTTTTCTGTTTCTGCCATTCATTTTTTGTCGTATTTCTGAGATTATGGTTATGACAAAGCCAGCAGGATGTTGAACACTCTGAACAGAACAGAAGCTGCACTATAATCTGACTCTCATCACTCAGACAGCGGTGTGCCGGTTTTGAGCTTGTGAACACAGTGATGATGTGGGTAGTGTGCAGCTCTGATTGTGATTTGTATGAAACTGATTATATGACTGGTTAAAGTGCTCACATTCTACATGTCATTCATATTCCAGCATTTCATTCTTTTTTTTTTCTGTGAAGTCCACTTAAGATGTGAGTCAGGGCTTCTTGCTTTTCATGATCAGGTTCAGGTTACAGATAAAGGGATAGTTCACCCAAAAATGAAAATTCTCACCCTTGTGTCGTTTCAAACCCATAAGACCTCCATTCATCTTCGGAACCCAAGTTAAGATGTTTTTGAAGGAATCTGAGAGCTGTCTGACCCTGCATAGACAGCAAGGCAACTGAAATGTTCCCAAGTCCAGAGACGTAGCAAGGAGATCTGTAAAATAATCCATGTGACATCAGTGGTTCATCCGCAGTTATACGAAGCTACAAGAATACTTTATGTGCGCAAAAGAAAAAAAAACTTTATTAAACAATTAGTCTCCTCTGCATCACCCTGTAGCATTGCCTTGCTGTTTATGCAGGGTCAGACAGCTCTCAGATTCCATCAAAAATATCTTAATTTGTGTTCCGAAGATGAATGGAGGTCTTACGGATTTGAAAAGACATGAGGGTGAGTAATTAATAACAGAATTTTCATTTTTGGGTGAACTAACTCTTTAAACAGCAGCTGCTGTACCTTTAAGAGTTCTGTATGTAAATGTGCAGTGTTATGACTGGCTGACCTCCACATACGGGTGTGTTTCATAGTGTCATTCATCATAATGCTTGTAGAGGGATTTACAATTGTGAACAGTACAGTTTGTCTGTTTTCCTTTATATGAGCCCTTTGAGCATATGTGTGTGTGTGGGTAAGTGTGAGTGTGTGTGTGTGTGTGTGTTTGTGTGTCCTGTGGGTGGTTCGATGCTGCTGCTGATGGTTTCAGGAGTGTGTGTAATGTGATTTGGGACAGAGAGATAAGCTTATTTAGGGATCTGTGTTAGTAGAGTCTAATACAGTTACAGCTCAACCTCTGCTTATCCATCTGTCCTGTCTGTCTGTTTGTCTGTCTATCTTTCTTTCTGTCTGTTCATCTGTTCATCTATACAGTACTACTATCGCTCCCACTCATGATTGCAGGCAGCTGCATTTTACAGAATAAAGTAAGCTTTCTTTTATTCTCCACTGGCCCTTTGATTAGGACACACACTTTCTCTCTCTCTCTCTCTCTCTCTCACACAGACACACACACACACACACACACTCACACACACACACAGGTTTGTTTTTGTGAAAAGTGAGGACATCTCATAGGCGTAATGGTTTTTATACTGTACAGACCGTATATTCTATTGCCCTACACCAACCCTACCCCTAAACCTACCCCTCACAGGAGACTTTGTGCTATTTCAGATTTTCAATACACTCCATTCTGTGTGATTTATAAGCATTTTGAAAAGTGGGGACATGGGGTAATGTCCTGAAAAGTCACCTTCTCCTTGTAATACCTATGTCATACCTTTGTCATTATACAGATTTATGTCCTCATTTGTCACAAAAACGCGCACACACTCTCTCTCTCTCTCACACACACACACACACACACACACACACACACTCATAGTGTGGTAGGCCACATCCACATTATTCTGGTTAAGTAAACTGGTTTTCTAGGCCTTTTGACGGTTAAAATGGAGGTATTCAAATACAATGACAAATGTGACCCTGGAGCACAAAAGCAGTCTTAAAGGGGTCATGTGATGCTGCTAAAAAGAACATTATTTTGTGTATTTGGTGTAATGAAATGTGTTTATGCGGTTTAAAGTGTGCAGCACCATAACATGTGCTGCACACATCTAGATATTTGGGTTGAAGTGTTCTGGAACAGTGTTGTAAATACAACTTAACCACTGATTTCTAGTCGTGTCCTCTTTTGGAAGACCAAACAAAGTAGTTTCGCTTTCATAACAAAAAACACAGCGGCCTAGCGTGAGCGAAAGCCCCGGCTTAGCGTGAGCTGAGGCCGGGATAGAGTAAGCTGAGACGGCGGGGTCGAGAACGGCGTGCCCGGTGGATTCGACGAATGAGCGGCAACCACGGGCTGGACTCCGCTTCGTCCACGGTGAAAGTTGATGTATTTCCTCAGCAACCAGCACAGATCAGCTCTAGGCATGACGAAGCGGATATCGTTCTCTTTTGGAAGACCAAACAAAGTAGTTTCGCTTTCACAACGAAACACACAGTGTCTTTACGACATGGCTGCAGCGTCAACAATACTACAGCGAGAATAAAAGTTACGCCTTCTTTCTTTGCGTGAACATTTGGGCGGTGTTATGCAAATCTTCCCACACAGTGAGGTAGATATGTGGGGGGCGTGTTAGAACGAGCTGTTTTAGGTAGGCGTGGCTGACTCTTAACTTTTATAAAGAATATCTCTTTGGATTTGAGACTTTAGTCTTTGCAACTTTACAGATCTTCTTTATGCATCAAGAGCTTGTAACACTCCAAAGAGAAAGGAACAATTGAAATCGCATCATATGATCCCTTTAATACGCTGGGGTATATTTGTAGCCATAGCCAAAAATACATTGTATGGGTCAAAATTATTGATTTTTCTTTTATGCCAAAAATCATTAGGATATTAAGTAAAGATCATGTTCCATGAAGATATTTCGTAAATTTGCTACTGTAAATATTTCAAAACTTAATTTTTGGTTATTAATATGCATTGCTAAGATCTTCATTTGGACAACTTTAAAGGTGATTTTCTCAATATTTAGATTTTTTTGCACCCTCAGATTCCAGATTTTCAAATAGTTGCATCTCTGAGAAATATTGTCCTATCCTAACAAACCATACATCAATGGAAAGCTATTTATTCAGCTTTCAGATGATGCATACATCTCAATTTCGAAATCTTATGACTGGTTTTGTGCTCCAGGGTCAAAATTGTTTAGTCAAGTGGCACTTCTTGTACCCAAATACATCTATGGTTGTCCTGGCATTGTTCAAGATGAATGTTACTTTGTACAGTCTCCATATTACACTCCTTCCAGTTTGGCAGAATATTCACTGGCATTGGTTGTCCTGTGGCAAAACATGATGACAGCTTTAGACCAAACAGGGAATGATGATTGAGTGTGATCTGGACTCAACAGTGTTATATTTTACTGATGAAATGATCGTGCCAGAGGAGCAGCATGAGAACACTAGTGTGGACGGTGAACATTATCGAAGCAAAAACTCTGTTTTTAGATATATGTGGGATTAACGAGCGGACTGCTTCATCAGCTCAATATGAGTGTGTGAAATCATGGATGGACACAAACACACTCTTTACTCACTCCTCTCATAACCGTGTGTCTTTGATGGCCATATCTTGCATAGAATAACTGAAATATGTAGATTTGGTCTCAAAGGTTTTTAAACTGCCTAAAAGCCCATTATAGTGCCTGTGCTGGATGCTGTTGTGCTGTGAGCCAGAAAAACATGATCAGACTCTGGCTGTTGTTTCATCCATCCAGACAGTTGTTGAGTGAACAGTGGATGTGAACGCAGTGAGTGTGTGTGTGTGTGTGTGTGTGTGTGAGTGTGTGTGTGTGTGTGAGTGTGTGTGTGTGTCCAAACTGATGAAACTTGTCTACATTTGCAATTAGCACTTTGTCTCCGAAGGTTGATTTTGGCGATGATGAGAAATGTTTCACACCCACTGACTGTTCTCCTGCTCTTTTCTCAACATTCAGAAGATGCTAATTATGGTGAATTATGATACCATACTATTATCACACTCTGCTGCCTCCTCGTTTAAAGCTAGGTGTCATGGAAGAACACTGGTCTGAAACAGATACAGTATACTGTCTAATGGAAGGCAGTCATGGAGAAGCACACCTGACAGTCACATGACCTCATCACACGCTTCATTGAGTGCCGTCCTGTCATCATCATCCTGGAAATAAAACATGACTTTTTTACTTATTGACTCTTAGTTCAGTTTGTGTAATGTGGCAATGCAACTGCAACTCTTTGTCACTTTTTCACTTTTGCATATGAAAAATAAAATATATATATTTGATATATGTTTTGGTCTGCTTGCATTGTTCTTTTGGTTCTACGCACCTGAGAACTTATTGTCTTTTCTTTTTTGAGTGCTTACAATTCCTACTTGATGAACTGTAACTCTTGTCCAATCAGATAATGAGTCTAGAAAAAGATGTGAGCTGTTGTTAAATGATATGAATCGTGTTTCTCTGCAGCTGTCTCTGCTGGCTAACCTGTCCGTGGCTAATCTGTGGTCACTGAGACTCGCCGCTAACGAACCCGTTCACCACATCATGACCTTCGACCCCAGCGACCACAACTACCTGTACCTCATGACCACACACCACGTGAGTACAGTTTAAACATTACTGTAGTTATGAGAATGTCTGTAGTGGACTCTTGAAATTCAGCGTAAGCCGATCTAGTGACGACATGAAGAACCTGTTCACAAGGCAAACTGTCAGGACGAGATCTACTAGCAGAAGAGAGACACTTCATGAATTGGCTTCATAAAATAAAGATTAAATATCTTTATCATGTATGAACTGTGAGTGTATTGAATGTACTTCAACGTTGTTAAACTACAGTCCTAATATCCCTCAGAAACACAACCGACACCAAAGCACTGTATATACTGTGACCCGAGACGATATCAACTCATCTGATCAAGAGTGTGTCACTGCTGCTGACTCTATCACAGACTCAATGAGTTCATTACTTTATAAAGATATTTCAAGCCATCTGTGTCATGCGTGTGTGCAGACACTCTGTTTATCACATTCAGGAGGAGCTGATTGATGGAGCTGTGAAACTCAACATTCGACTGTGTGTTAGTCTGATGCTCACGAGCGTGTGTGTGTGTGTGTGTGTGTGCTCAGCTCCTGCGGGTTCAGGTGTCTGTGTGTGGTCTCTACAGCTCGTGCAGTGAGTGTGTGAGCGCCGGCGATGCCCACTGCGGCTGGTGTACGCTGGAGAGAAGGTAAAGCACTCGCTCTCATCCTCTCATCACTCACACTATAACCACAGCAAATGAACCCACCATAAATCTCTCGATGGAGGATAGGAGTGTCATTGCAGATGATTTTGCATGATCACGATCAATGATTTGAAATGTCGCACGTGAGTCGTATGGAATACTTACTTTTATGATACTTTTGACCTTTTTTAGCAAGTATCACAAGTATCCATCTCCATTCACCTTCACTGTATGGGAATTTCTGCTTAAACCATCTTTCATGTTTGACAGCAGAAAGAAAGTCAAAGGGTTTTGGAAAAGCAGCTCTTTGGGATTTAGTGACTGTTAAGCAAAGAACGACAAACGTGTAGAATTTGTCAAGCTGCGTGTTTCCGAGCTTTAGATGTCTTCCTGTGGAGTTTATCTTTATTGAGGGGTTTTCCTGAATGTTGAATTGAAATCAAAAATCACTGGGTGAAAGGCTGAAATGAAGCAGCGCAGCACTTCTCTACTTCACTCGTTTCTCACATTTATCTGACTCAGGCTAATTGTTCTCATGATAGTAGCTCTTTCAGAGGAAAATGTCAAACCACACTGAGAGTCTTTTCAGCCAACGTGTGTGTGTGTGTGTGAGTGTGTGTGTGTGTGTGTGTGTGTGTGTGTGTGTGTGTGAG